TGTCATTGTTGTTTGGCAGGCCTGGGCTGGATTTGAATCCACCAGCTCTGGAGTATATGGCTGGCGCCCTAGCTGCTGAGCTACAGACACCAAACCTTTTCTTTTCTTTTTTTTTTTTTGAGACAGAGTCTCACTCAGTTGCCCTGGGGTTGAGTGCGGTCATGTCACAACTCATAGCAACCTCAAACTCTTGGGCTCAAGTGATCCTCTTGCTTCAGCCTCCTGAGTAGCTGGGACTACAGGCGCCTGCAATACTCTCAATTCCTGAACTCAGGCAATCTACCTGCCTTGGCCTCCTAGAGTGTTAGGATTATAGGTGTGAGCCACCATGCCCAGCCTGAACAGCTTATTAAAGAAGAGAAAACAACTAACAATGAGCTGAGTGCCGTACCGAGAAAAATTGACTCATGGGCTTTGGGTAATTCAGAAATAGAAGAAGTTTTCAGAGCAACCTCAGGCAAAGTTTCTGCAGAGTAAGTAATACCAAGTACTTTTCCAGAAGAAATATTAGATTTTGAAAAATTCCTTCAGGCTTGGGCGCCAGCCACATACACTCAGGGCTGGCAGGTTCAAACCCGGCCAGGCCTGCCAAACAATAACAACTACAACAAAAACATAGCTGGATGCTGTGGTGGGCACTTGTAGTCCCAACTACTTGGCAGGCTGAGGCAAGAGAATTGCTTAAGCCCAAGAGTTGCAGGTTGCTATGAGCTGTGATACCATAGTACTCTACTGGGATGACATAGACTGTCTCAACAAAAAAAAGAATGTATGAATAAAGAGAAAAAAAAAAAAAAGAGGCTTGATGCCTGTAGCTCAGAGGCTAAGGTGCCAGCCACATACACAGGAGCTGGCAGGCTGGAACCTAGCCCAGGCCTGCCAAACAACAATGACAACTACAACCAAAAAACAGCCAAGTGTTGTGGTGGGCGCCTGTAAGTCACAGCTACTTGGGAGGCGGAGGCAAGACAATTGCTTAAGCCCAAGAGTTGGAGGTTGCTGTGAGCTGTGATACCACAGCACTCTACTGAGGGCGATACAGTGAGACTGTCTCAAGAAAAAAAAAAAAGAAAGAAAGAAAAATACCTTCAGCAAGCAGGAGAGCAACAAGGGGGGCTGAGATAATTATCATCTCCAGAACTTTTTAAAGGTGAGAAACAAACATGAAGGGAAGCCAACATTTTTGGAAGAAATTCTACAATAGAGTATAAGGTAGAGTTCAATGGTATTAGAAATATTATTAAAAATTTATAGTTCTGGCTTGGCACCTGTAGTCCCTGGTACTTGGGACACTGAGGCAAGAGAATCGCTTAAGCCCAAGAGTTGGAGGTTGCTGTGAGCTGTGACACCATGGCACTCTACCCAGGGCGACAGCTTGAGGCTCTGTCTCAAAAAATAAAAATAAACAAAAAATTTATAGCTCTAAAAACAAACAAATGGAAAGACAAAAGTTCACCATCATTGGAGATGTTCCAGTACTGGGCTGTTGAACCCCAACGGCAAGCATTACTACATACATGACTAGGAAGATTCTCTCCAATCTTGAGACTCTCATTTCTGAGCATATCCTCTCTGACCACCTGGCAAATAATGTTACAGTGCAAACTGTCCGACAGAATGTTCTGCAATGATGGAAGCGCAGGTCCAATAGAACAGCCACATAGGACTACTGAGCACTTGAAATGTGACTACTGCATCTGAGAAACTAAATTTTAAAATTTTATTTAATCTTAATATAAAATAGCTGCATATGGCTGATGGCCATGGTATTACACATTGGAGGTATAGATGAGATGTTCTTATATTGGGTAGATGGAAGCACAATCAAAACAAAAGAATTTCTTTTTGTGGCTGGGAGCCCATGCTCAGTGGTTAGGGTGCTAGCCACGTGCTCCGGGGCTGGTGACTTGGAACCTGCCCAGGCCTGCTAAACAAAAAAAAAAAATTTCTTTTTGGAAGGGCTTATGGGTGAATGGGTGGGTGGGGAAAAAAAGGAATTTCTTTTTATATTTCCAATTTTATGACTGTATGGTTTTAAAAGTATTTATTAAGTAGTTATATCTACTTTACCAATTTTAATACATTAGAGAAGATTCTTCTGGATTGGGAAACCATCACTGCATTAATAAATACCATTTATTGACTCTTAAAGGGATTTTGAGCACACAAAAACAGGCTTACCTGGAGAACTAGGTGCTGTGAGTGCTGAGGAGTGAGGTTGACTTTCCGAAGCACAGACTTCACTCTGATTAAGAACAACTTCTAAATGTCTCCACCTCTGGTAACGACTATATTCTTGTTTTATGTTCTGAAAAATTTGCTCTAATAAAAAAGAAACAAACTTTGAGCTTTCACTTTACTGTGCTATTTCTTTCTTTCTTTCTTTCTTTTTTTTTTTTGAGACAGAGCCTCAAGCTGTCCCCCTGGGTAGAGTGCCATGGCATCACAGCTCACAGCAACCTCCAACTCCTGGGCTCAAG